TATTTTGATATATTCCTTTAATTTTTGTTTCTCCCTAATTTTAAAGTCTTCATACGCAGCGTCAGATTTTCTCAAGTATTTATTACTTTCTATAAAATGATGAGTATATATATATATATTTTGTAAGATTAAAAATACATGTGTAAGATATAATGTTATTATAATATATATGTATGTTCAGATGCAAACACATACATACATAAATACATACATAAATACATACATAAATACATACATAAATACATACATAAATACATACATAAATACATACATATATATATATATATATTATAATTACGATCGTTATTAAACTTTTTGTCGACTATTGGATTATCCACAACAATATTTTTTACATGTTTTTCATTTCTCTTTATGATTCTTTGTTTTTCCAGTTTATCCCTATGCATCATTCATATGTAATATATATATATATATTTATGACAATGAGTATATAAACAAGATGAATTGTACACATATATTTATATATATATATATATATATATATAAATGTATTATTTTTGTATATGTTTTATTTGTAATATGGATTATTTAAAATATTTTCAAGTTATGAAACAAATATGTTGTCTAATGGTATTATAATATCAAAGACGTTTTCTTAAATAATAAATGTATTTTAAAAAAGAATGTACAAATATTCTCTTTTTTTTTCTTTTTTTTTTTTTTCATATTACCATTAAGACGTGAAAAAAAATAAAAAGAATGAGAAAAAAATAAAATTAAATAGAAGAGTAAATATAGTCTGATGAATGATAATTATAATAAACAATACTTTTGTTTTTATTTTTCCATTTTTTCTCTTTCGTTTGTGCTGTCTTTCTTTTTTTTTTTTTTTTTTTTTTTCGTTACCTTAAAAGTTATAGGCAAATATTTTTCTCGCAAATTTATTATGTATATATAAAAAATAAACTAATCGCATTAACAAGATTAATAAAAAGTAGAAAGAGTTTCTTTATATTTACCTATTTAATTCATTTAATTCTTTTTTTTTTTTTTTTTTTTTTTTTTTTTTTTTTTTTTGATTGTGTTCTTTGAAAAAGTTAAAAAAATATAAAATAATATGATATAATATAATAGAATATAATAACAATATCAATACAAATAAATATACCCAAAACATGTATATATAAAATATAAAAAATATATATGTATATATATATATATGTAAGATATCTATTATGGCTTTATCTTTCCTTCAGTAATTATATTGTAATATCTGGTTACGCTGTCATTCTTAATATAATATAAAATATTATTATGGTTGTCTATTTTTTTATTTTTACATATTCCATGTCAAAAATAAATATTGAACATTACACATATATATAAACATATATAAAAAAAAATATATATATATATATATATATATATATATTTATATATATATATGTATATATCTACACTTGTATACATGCTTATTCTCTTTATGAAACTTTTTTCTCAAGTAAAAAAAACAAATAAGTTTTATAACTTCAAAAAATAAAAAAAAAATTATATACTACTAACTTTAATCAATTGGTTATATGTTACATTTTACATACACGTCATTATATATATATATATATATATATATATATATATATATATGTGTAGTGCATATAGGTTTACATTTTAGTTTTTTTTTTTCACATTTTTATATTTATTAAAGGATTTATTATATTATAGTTATATTACTGTATAAAAATATATGTATATATAAAGAGAAAATAATTATAAACATATATACATATATATATATGCACAAAATATTTTAACAAATGTATTTAAAAAAAAGAAGAAGAAAAAGCAAAGAAAAATATATAAATTATAGTAATAAAAAAAAAGAAAAAATTAAAATGAAGTAAAAAAAAAATTAAATCTATACTTTTCGTAATATTACATATATATATATATATATATATATATATTTATATGGTACGAATAATATGTCATATTGTTAACATTGAACGATATATTATTATAAATATTGTGGGAATAAATAATTGAGAAAAAAAAATATATATAATAATAATACTTGGTAACATATATATATATATTTATATATATAGTATGTAAAAACTATAAAAAAGAAAAAAAAAAAAAAAAAAAAAAAATTAATTTCTTACTCTTTTGCTTTATTTTTTAAACTAAAATATGATTCAGATTTTATTTTCTACACTTACTGAATAGGTATATAATATTATAAAAGCGAATCTATATATCAATATATATACATATATATGTATGTATTTTTGTTGGTAGTCTGATATATTATCGTAATATTATTAAGATGTAATATATATATGAGTGATGATAATATAATATGTTTACATATTTACATATGTCTACAAACATAAATAGATACATATATATATATATATATATGTTTGTATTTGTGTTTTTTTGTTGTATATATTTGGTTTTTCAATATTTTTCTTTTTTTTTTTTTTTTTTTTTTTTTTTATAGAATTTTTAATTTTTTTTTTCTCATATAATTTAAAAGAATCAAAAAATTATTATAAAAAAAAAAAAAAAAAAAGAAAAAAAAAAAAAAAAAAGGATAAAAAAAAAAAATCTAATTATAAGTATACATTGAATTATAATATTATTGTGCATATTTTTGTGTCCAAGCTTTAGCAGTTTGGTGATATTTCGTTCGGTCTGTTTTATACACATGAGCTATTTCTGGAACTAAGGGATCATCTGAAATAAAATAAAAATAAAATATAATATAATATAATATAGATAAAATTAATATTAATATATATGTATATATATATATATATATATATATATATATATATATATATATACATATATATATTAAAAGCTTCAAAAATTATTGAATACAATAATTTTACCTGCGTTGGGGTCTGTTAGTAAAGAGGAAATTGAAAGTAAAACTTTTGATATGGTTAATGCTGGACTCCATTGATCTTTTAAAATATCAAGACATATTGCTCCTGCTGTATTTATATTTGGGTGATATATTTTGGTTGTAAAAATTATCTGAAGGGAAAATAAGGCATAAACAAATATATATATAAATATATATGTAAATATATATCTACATATATGAATATATATATCTCTCTCTATATATATATATATATATATGGTCAGGTGGTTTTTACTTTTGGTGGTTTAAAGGGATAGTCTGGAGGAAATTTGATATTCAAAAAATAAACTCCATTTTCATAAGGACTAAAAAAAAAATAAAAATGAAATATATCACATGAATATATATATATATATATATATATATATATATATATATATATTTATTTATTTATTTATTTATTCATTCAATAAATATATGGATATGTATATAAATAAAATAAATGTAAATATGCTTATTTTATTTTATTTTATTTCATTTTTATTTGCCTCTTACCTATCTCCTGGTCCCATAATTGTTGCTTGCCAAAAAAATAAATCGTCACCAATAGGACCCGCTGAACAATTTGTAGGGGGATCTTTATTCAAATCTTGTAATTCCTATAAAGTTAAAAAAAAAAAAATATATATACATATATATATATATATATATTAATATATGTATAGTAGTAGTTATTTGATGGATATATTTTTGGATATAACAATCTGTGTGTTTATTATGAGGATGATATTATATGTAACATTCCATCATACATATAAACATATAAACACATACACATATATATATATATATATATATAATTAAATCCATATTAATAAGTACATATACATATATGTATACTACAATTCACAGAAGACGCAATGATATATATATATATATATAATAAAATCACTGTAGAAAAAAAAAAAAACATATCCTCATAATATACCATAATATATATATATATATATATATATATATATTATAATTATTTCTTCACTTTTTTTTTTTTTTTTTTTTTTTTTTTTTTTCTTATTTTTCATGAGTTTATATTTTATTTTTTTAATTACTTTTGTTATTCTTTTAAGTGCCATGCTTCTTATGTTTTTCTATATATATATATATATATATATTATATATATATTTATTTATATTTATATATTTACTTATTTATTAATATATTATTAAATATATATTTTATGTTATCTATTTTTTTAATTATTTTATAGGAAAAAGTGTGAAAAAAAAAAGAAGTATATATATATATATATATTATAATATATATAATATTTATATTTTTATATTGTTTATAATATATATTATATATATAATTTCATTTTCTTCATAATATATATTTTATATAAATATATATTATATTAAAAAAACAGTTACTTTTTTTTTTTTTTTTTTATGTTATTATATATAAATTTTTTTTTCTTTATATATATATATATATATAAAAGAAAGAAAATAAAATTAAATAAAAGAAGATGATAAAAAAAAAAAAAGAAGAAAAAAAAAAAAAGAAAAAAAAAAAAAAAAAAGGAAGAAAATTATTTATAACTAATGGTATTTATATAAATATGTAATAATATTATAAATATTATATAATAATAATATTAATTAATTGTTAATACAATATATATTATATATTATATTTTTTATATATAATAATATATTTATATAAAATAATAGGTATAATATACAATACGCGTAAAATTATTAATTATTTATAATATATATATTATATATATAATATTTATCTATATATTATAATATATGCAATAGAAGAAAAAAAAAAAATAAATAAAATAAAATATTATATATATATATATATATATAATATATTTAATAACATATTAATAATATACATTCATATATATATATATAAATATATTTATATATAGGTAATATATATTTTTTTTTTTTTTTTTTTTTTTTTAATTTTATGCTCATAAATATATATATATATATATAATATATATGTAATAATGGGGGATGATGTGATAAGTAAATTTTTTTTTCAATAATAATAAAATAATAAAGAAAAAAAAAAAAATTATAAAAATTAAAGATATTATAATATATATATATATATATATATAATATTATATATATGTTTATGTTTATAATTTTTTATATAATATATATTTTTTTATATATTTCATTTTGTTTTTTTTTTCCGTATAAATTATAGAAAAAAAAGAAAAAAAAAATTTATGAAAATTGTATTATTTTAATCTTTTACTATATTATTATAATATATTATACATACATATATATATATAATAATATAAATAGCAAATAAAGGATGGGAAAAATCCTTTTAATATTTTGTTTATTTGTTTATTTGTTTATTTGTTTATTTGTTTATTTGTTTATTTGTTTTTTCTTTTTTGTTGTTTTTTCTTTTTTGTTTTTTGTTTTTTTTTTGTTTTAATTTTTTTAAAATTTATGAAAGAGATGATGTAATATATATATGTATAAATTAAATATATATAAAATTTATAGAATATCCACATTTAAACTTTCTTTTTTTTTTTTTTTTGTTTTCTTTGTTTTTTTTGTTTTTTTTGTTTTCGTCCGATTGGAAATTTATACGGTGCGTAGTATTAAATTGTTATGTGTACAAAATATGAAATTCGTAGTATTATATATGTATATGAATATAATTTAAATATATAAAATATTATTATTATATATTTGAAGGGAAAACAAAGAAAAAAAAAAAAAAAAAAAAAAAAAAATACACATGGAAACATAAATAAATAATAATAAATTGTTAATATATATGTATTTATATATATTTATTTATATAATATTTCTGTAATTTTTTTTGGAATAAAAAGAAATGAGAAAATTACAAATGCACATATTTTTACAAATAAATATATAGAAAGTGTTAAGCTTATTAATGTCATTTAATTTAAAATAACAGATAGTTACATATATATATATATAATTATATATATAATTATATACTTTTCAAAATAAATAAATGTAGAAAATATGTCTAATATAACATCATTTATTTGTCTATAAAATTTGGAAATAATTATCCTTTATATATATATATATATATATATATATTTATTTATTTATTTTATTTTAAGGAGAATTAATAGGTATGTACAATTTATAAAATGCATATAATAAAAAGAAAAAAAATTTACTTGTACAAAATGTAAATGGATGAATTGTAAAAGTTTTTTTTTTTTTTTTTTTTACCTTTTACATATTTCATTGAATTGAAAAAAAAAGGAAAAGAAAAAATATACATTATTTATAGAAACTAAGAAAAGAGGAATCTCCTTTAAAAAATATAAATAAGTAATAAGAACTATAAATATATTGTCATGTGAAAATATATATATGTAAATTGTTTTATATTTGTATATGCTAGTCATTTCTCCCCTTTTCTTTTCTGAACACCTAAATTATAATATAGAGAAAAAAAAAAAAAAAAAAAAAAAAAAGAGGAAGCAAAAAAAAAATTATATAAATATATAATTATATAATTTTTATAAGAATATAAGGAATATATATATATATATATATATGTTCATAAATCGTATAACAATATTTGAACATACACTTTGAAATGTTGTTATATATAATTTTCGTTATCCTTTTTTTTTTTTTTTTTTTTTAATATATAAGAAGATCAAAATTAAAGTATATATATATGAATGTATAACCAATATATAGATCCCATTTTTTTTGTGTAACCATATTTTAAATATCAGTATTATGTCTGTCTATAAAGATCATTTTATTAAATGATATATAATTTTAAAATATTTTATCATAAAAAGATTCAACCTCTATTAGAAAAAACGAAAGAATATATACAAATATATATATATATATATATATATATACATATATATTTTTATATATTTTTTTTTTTTTTTTTTTTTGCTTCGCTTTCCTGTTATATAATATTTTAATATTATGTTGGGAAAAAAAAAAAATAATTATGTAATATGTAATATATAATATATCAACATATGTAATAAAACACATTTTATTATTTTAAATGTATTCGTTTATCTTTGTCTTAAAAAATAAAATTTGTAAAATATATTAATAAAGTATATACGTCTTATTTATTTTATATTTTGCTTTTTTTATAAAGCACAAAAGATAGCGTTCATTCATATAGAAAAGACCACATTTTTATGTATACGCATGAAAGAATTATTATTTAATTGTATTATCATATATAAGTATCTTATTATTTACAAAAAATGGAAAAAAAAAAAAAAAAAAAAAAAAAAAAAAAACAGTATTACTTTTATAGTTTTTTTTGAATATATATATATATATATATTTTAAATACATGTCATACATATCGTATATGTACGAAATAAGGAAAAATATTAGGTACATATATTTTTATATAAAAATTTATTTATGTACACCAAAAAAAAATATTAATTTCCGTAATATTATAAAAGTACAATAAAAATATGATGTATGTACAATTTATGAATACTACCCGCTTTTCTAATTTATAAAAGAAATAAAAAAAATAATAAATAAATAAATAAAATAATAAGATATAATGGAAAATATCCATTTTATAATTCACTAATTTTCCCATGTGAATGAGAACAAAATATGTATATTTATATAAAATAACACATATTCTTTTGTTCTTTTTAGAAATAAGAAATATATATTATTTTATATAACTTTTGTAGTACGCCCTTAACAGCTATCATGAATAAAAAAAGAAAAGAAAAAGAAATTACTGTATAAAAAAATATATATATATATATATACAATATAATATTCTTCTATTTTTAAATTAAAATATAGAAATATAAATTAATAGTTCAAATATATTATTATCATTAATTTTACTTTATATACTGTTAAAAGGAAAAATTTATTTATTTAATAATCTTCATTTTTAACGAGCTTACATAAATAAATAAATGTATATATATTATATATATTATGTATTATTAGAAAATCTGAAATATTATATTTTATTATATTATAATATTATATAATAATTTAAAAGAAGCACTTGCTATTTATATATTTATAAATATAAATATATATTTTTAATATTTTTTATTATGTTTTACAATAATATATAAAAAACAAATTTTATATATTATTTTGTATGTTTTTTAAATATGCCTTAACTTTTTTTTTTTTTTTTAAGTACTTTTAAAGGGAACAAAATCGTCTCAAAAGAAAAAAAAAAAAAAAAAAAAGAAAATTAATCATACATTCTTAATATAATATTATAAAATGATATATTGTTATAATCTTATAGGTTTAAAGAAATAAAAATATATATAACAAAATATAATATAATATAATATAATATAATATAATATAATATAATATAATATAATATAATATAATATAATATAATATAATATAATATATATAATATTATATTTTATATATTTAAAAAAAAAAAATATATGTCATTTTTTTTTTCTTACATATTTTTATTATACAGGGTTATTTATTATATATTTATATATATTATATATATATATATAAAATACATATATATATTTGCATTACATAAAAAAAAATATGCTCATGTTTTATTTTTTTATATAATAATGAAAGGGAAGGGTTCAAAGAAAAAAAATAAATTAAATTTAAAAAGAATTTATTATATAATAAATATATATTAATATATTTATTACATATGTAACAATATATTATTCATTATATATATATAAAAAATATATAATATATATATTAAATATATTTTTATTTCTTTTCATATTATGTAATTTTTATGGTTTATTTATATTTAAAAAGTCATTAAATTCTTATTACATAAAAACATATAATAATAAAATAGTATATATATAATATATATATTATAATATTAATTTATATATATTTTCATAATAATATTTTTATATACAAGAAATGAAATACCTGTATATAAATGCATACAATAAAAAATATATATATAAATTATTTTATAATATATATATATATTAAATAATAGAAATTTATAATTTCTTATTATTTATAAATATATTATAATATATTTTATAATAATATATATATAATATATAATATATTATAATTATTTTGATATAATAAAAAATATATATATAATAAATATATATTTTTTTTTAATTCTTTTTTTCTTTTATATAATATAAGAAGTTATATTATATTATATATATATATATATATATATATTTATTTTACATATATTTTTTTCTTTATTATATGTTATTTAAATTTGATTTCTTGCCTTTTTTTTTTATAAGATATTTATATATATAAATTTCTTTTTTTTTTTTTTTTTTTTTTATATTGATTACAAGAAAAAACTATAAATAATAAAAAAGGAATCCAAAAAAAATAAAATAAGAGAAAGATAATCATATTAAAATAATAATATATATCAATCCTTAAAAAAAAATTAAAAAGATAAATAAAATAAAAAAAAATATATATACATATATATAATATAATAATAATATATAATTTATTTAAAAAAAAAAGAAAAAAAGAAAGGAATCTCATTATTTTAAAATGGCAGCTAATGAAGGAAATCAAGTAATTATAACCAAAAAAAAAAAAAAAAAAAGAAAAAAGAAAAAAAAAATATATATATATATATAATAAAGCAGAAAGAAAAAAAGGCATACATAAAATGTATATGAAAAATATATTTATATTTCTTTATACCAAAACTTATATTAATTAATAACATGTCGATGTAGTTCTCATATACATTTTTTATATTTTTCGCATAAGGTTTATATATCTATGTATATATAAATATATATATATATATATATATATATTTATTTATATATTCAATAAGAATATTACTTATTATTTTTTTTTTTTTTAAAGTGCCAACATGTTAAATGAAAAAATTATATGTAGATATATATATGATTTATTTATATAATGAATAATACTGTTATGTTTATTTAACTAGCTTTTTTTTTTTTTTTTTTTTTTTTATTTTGTTATTATAATATTTTACATTGTTCGTACATGTTTTTCCTGTGCATGTTCATATAACTAATATAAAAAAAATAAATATGTATGCATATATATATATATATATTTACATCTATATCTATATATATATATTGATATATTTTATTTGATTTTTTATAGCCAATTCCACCTGAAGAAGAAAAGGAAATATCGTCACTTTTAGAGAGCATTAAAATTGGTAAGGCATCATTAAAATATAAATGTTTATATTTATGTATCCAACTACGTTTTCGTTTCCTAATTTGTTTGTAATACATGTATTTATGAGTTATTATTTATTTTTACATATATAAATATGAGACCATGTATGTATGTACATATAATATATATATATATATATTTTTTTAATTGTTTAATTTTATTTTTTTGAAGACGATGATAAAATGACCGATTTGACCGAAGAACAAAAGGAAACATTAAAGAAGTTGAAACTCTATCAGAAAGAGTACTATGATTACGAATCTAAATTTGAATATGAGTTATTTTTATTAAGACAGAAATATCATGATTTATATGGTCCTATTTATGACAAGAGAAGAGAAGCTTTAGTAGGTAACGGTGAAGCAAAAATTGGTACACCTAATTTACCCGAGTTTTGGTTAAGAGCATTAAGGAATAATAACACGGTGAGTCATGTTATTGAAGATCATGATGAAGAGATATTAGTATATTTGAATGATATAAGATGTGATTATATTAAAAAGAATAAAGAGAAGAAAGAAGGTTTTATTTTGTCATTTTATTTTGCAACAAATCCTTTTTTTAGTAATTCGGTATTAACAAAAACATATCATATGAAATGTGTAGATTGTGATAACGAGCCAGTGTTATTACATACGGAAGCAACAGTAATTGATTGGTATGATAACAAAAACATATTAAAGAAAAATGTGGTGAAAAAGCAACATAATAAAAATTCGAGAGAAGTAAAAACTGTTCAACAAACAGTTAATAGGGATAGTTTCTTTCACTTTTTTACGAGTCATAAGGTACCTAATTCAAATGTTATTAAACAATTAAGCAAACATGAAGTTGCTCAATTAGAAATGATAATAGAAGGAGACTATGAAGTTGCCTTAACAATTAAGGAAAGAATTATCCCTTATGCAGTTGATTATTATCTTGGTATTATTATCGAGAGTGAAAGTAATAGTATTGTTAGTGATGTCGACAGTAGTTATAGTAGTAGTGAAAATAATAGTAACTATAATAGTTATGAAAGTAATAATAGTGCATACAATGATGAAAATAGTAATGTCGATACAAATGAATATGATGATAATGAGGAAGAAGAAGAAGGAGCAAAGAGCAATGAGGATCCTCTTACTTCGTAGTTTGTATATCTCATCAAGAAAAATAAAATAAAAAAAAAAAACATAAAATGAAAAGTAAAATATATGTTATATATAATATATATATATATATATATATATTTCTTTGGTTTATATATTTTTTTCCATACATATATATATTATTGATATATATATATATATATATATATATATATATATATATATATATATATGTATATGTATTTATATGTATTTATATGTATTCATATTTTAAAAAAAAAAAAAAAAAAAAAAAAAAAAAATTAATTTAAACATAAAAACCAAATAAACATTATTATATAATTATTTAAAGTTTTATTCACATAATGAAAAATACGCACACATATATATATGTGTATCTTTTATTATATGTGTGTTTTATTAAATCTAAAAGGTGAATAAGGCTAATGGCTATAAGTTTTTATTCTGAATAATGAGAACAAAAGAAATTTTGAATTAAATGTTTTTCATTTATAATTCACATAAAAAAAAGATTAAAATATATATATATATATATATATATATATATATATAATATTTACTATTCCTTTACACTTAAATTCCTATATTATACTATATTTATTTGTGTATATTTTAGCAATCTGTATAGTTTTTATAAATTTCAGTAGAAGACAAGAATATACTTGGCGCAAATTAATTATATATACACATCAATATAAATATATATATATATTTTTCAGGTATATATATTTTATTTTTATAATTTATATTAAATGATATTAGTATATTTTTGTTAATTCTTCCTTATATATTTGAATAAATTATCTTTTATTTTATTTTTTTTTTTTTTTTTTCTTATTTTGATATAAATATATATATATATATATATATATATATATATATATATATATATGTATTTATTTATTTATATTATATTATATTATATAAATTAGTGTTATATGTAAATTTAACAAATCTGTTAAAAATATCATGAACGAAATAATGAAATTTAATTATTTTATTTTATTCTATTTTTTTTTTTTTTTTTTTTGAATATTAATTTATACATTATAACAAAATATTTTAGAATGAATATTTTTTACAAAAAAAACCAAAAAATGAAAAAAAAAATAGTTCCATTTATATATATCGATTGTTAAAAAGAAAAATATATATATAATATGTTATTAAATATATGACCACAATTTATATTAGTCCCAAAGGTTTGTTTTTAAATATATTATTTATTTATTATTTTTTTTTTTTTTTTTAATTTCTATTTATGATTTGGGATTATATAATACATGTCTAAATATGTATATGATATGTTTTATTATTATTATTATTATTATTATTATTATTATTTTTTTTCATTCTTAAAAAAGGTTATTTAAAAACCTGCAAATCTTTATATAAATAATTTTAACATTATCTATTACATTTTGATGATTGTATTGTGGTCTGGCATCAATATAAATTGAGATTGCGGAATTTTTTTCTTTTTTCCCATCATAGTAATCAATAATATATCTAATGTAAAAATAAAGGGTCATCATAAGTATATATATATATATATAAATATAATATATATATATATATATATATTGTGTGATTCTTTTTTAATTTATTATATATATTTTATTTTTACTTGATTGTATTTCCACATCGGTCTACGTACCACTCGTGCCTATCAAAAGGTTTATTATAACCAATGAGTGTTAACATAAAAGCTTTAATTGATATTTTGGTAGGATATCCTACAAACTTGATTAATTTTTGTTCTTTACATAAGTCAAAATATTTTTCTTCTCTTTTCATAATTTTATTCCATGTTTCTTCATTAACAGCATTGTGAATTTTTAAGGCCATATTTAATTCTTCTTGAGAAAAGGAGTAACCTACAAATTATTATGCGATAGAAATGACG